GGGGGGGATATTCGATTCCAGTCAAGCCCTAAGACTCTGTGGTTCCAATTACCATGTATCTTAGAAGCTGAGTTTTAAGGCATTAAAGTTCTCAGAAACGGTCTTTGCCACACATGTTATTAAAAATTATGTTTGCCTTTGTAAGATGATTCACCTACCATTTCTCCCTCAGCTAGTGAATGAGACAGCATGTAGTTAAGGAGTTTCTTACTGTTTTGAACAAAGTGATGCTGATCTAATGTATTTCATATCTTTTATACATAGATACACTTTCCTTAGTAATGATATACTTCCTGTATCCCTGTCTTGATTCCCAGGTACTTTAGAATAAGGATAAGGCGTAAATAAAATTTATCTTTCCATTTGGCTACTTTAAGTTGGCATTCCAAGCTAAGTTTTACTTTAGAAAAACTTCAGCATAAGATGTTCACCTGAAATTGTAGCTAGTTGTTTGCAGCTTTAGGAAAATAGTTCTAGATGTACTATACAAACTTAAAATTTTAGGACTTAAGAGATGATCATATTAAGTGAAGTAAGTCGGACAGAGAAAGACAGATATCATATGATATCACTTCTATGTGGAATCCAAAAAAAATGATAAATTCTACTTACAAACCACAACCAGACTCACAGACATAGAAAACAAACTATGGTTACCAAAAGGGGAAAGGGGAGGTGGGATAAATTAGAAGTTTGGGATTAGCGGATACACGCTATTATATATAGAATGGATAAACAACATCGCCCTACTGTATAGGAAGGGGAACTATTTTCAGTGTCTTGTAATTACCTATAATGAAAAAGAATCTGCAAAGAAAATATATATATGTACGTGTATGCATAACTGAATCGCTTTGCTGTACGCCTGAAACTAGCATTGTCAACCAACTACACTTCAATAAAAAATAAAATTAGAAAACAAAACAAAACAGAATTTAAAAATTTAGAATTTTCATGCTATTTTCAAGAATTCTTTATAGAAACAAGTATTTCCCAGTCATACCCCGTTAGTAAATAATAGAAAAGAAATTCATGCAAATTGATGCCACACGAAACACATTCAGCTTTATGATTGTGTGGAAGGGGTTAATAGCTAGTCTTTGGTTTTTGTTCCCTTCGTGCTGGAAGAGAAGAAAAAAAAAGGCCCAGTAGATTAGCAGTGAGAGATTGGGAAGAAATGAAGCAAAACTGAAGTAAAACAGTGCAAGCTTGTTTCTGCTTGGAGGCCACACACAATGAGAGCCCCACGCACAGTTCAGCTCTCTCCGAAGGAGAAGAGCATTTCTTGTTTAATTCTGGAGTAATTTATGGTAGGTTACGTGTGTTTTACTCTGGGGACT